CGCACACCCTGAGGCTAAAATAACCTCGAGCCTGGCCCTCGGCAGCGACCAAGCACGAAGCGCCAGGCCGCACGTTTCGTGCTTGAGCCAAAATGGCTACGGATGATGATGATGATGATGATGATGATGATGAGCCGGTCTTTGAAATCCGTCAGGGTAGGAAAAGTTTCGTGGTTTCGTTGATGTGGATGTACATGTGGGCGTGCAGGTAGCATGGGTCTGCAAGTAACAGGGCGCTGCCCCCCCCCGCAGGCCTCTGCTTTCGCGGAACTGGCACAACTGGTCATCGAACTGGTCATAGAACTGGTCCATGAAACATGTGGTCTGGCATAGAACTGGTCGTTTCAAGTAGAATTCTAAATGTAATTTTCTCTCTTTCGAATTTCGACCAGTTCACTGCCGGACCAAATTTTCAATGGACCAGTTCTATGACCAATTCTATCCAGTTGCACCAGTTCCGCGAAAGCAGAGGCCTGCTGCGTGGGGGGGGCAGCGTCCTGTTACCTGCACACCCACGTTACCTGCACATCCACATGTACATCCACATCAACGAACCAACGAAACTCTCCTTACCCAGACGGTGCCTGGACAAAAAGTGTCCACACCGACGGCGCGAATACAATCAGGCATGATGGCAACGGCATTGGCAATATTCATGTGGCTCGCCCCCCCTCACCCCCAAACCCAAAGTTGAAGTGTCCATATTTTGTCCCCCGCGCGTTGCCTCGCGCCTAACCCCGTCAACGTTGAGTGGGGGGGGCGGGGGCAATGGATATTTGTTCGACGCAGTTCGATGTCGCATCATATCGGCGCGATGGCTGTGGACACTTTTTGTCCACCCACCGTCCCTCTCCTTCCTCTCTCCCTCCCCCCTCGTCCCTCTTCAATCTTCCCTCCTCCCTCCTCTCCTCCCCCCCTTTTTGCCGGGAAGGGCTTAGGCCAAGGCTTCTCTTTTAGTTGTGTTTTCCCCCGGTTTTGACGGCTGTAGGGCCGGCAATAAATAACGAGGTCGCGTAGGGCCGGCGAATTAAAATTTGAGGTTGTCCTGAGCGAACCGCTTGTTTTTCAGAATGTGTTGAGGATGTCTCGAGCGGAACGCTTGCTTTGTGTTATAGATTGTCCTCTCCTGGGGACCAGAATTCAGAGGAGAGGATCTCTCAAGTGAAATGCTTGTTTTCACGTGCCCAGGTCTTGAGGATGTCTCGAGCGAGACGCTTGGTTTCACGCCTCCAGGTTGCCCAGGCAGAGGTCTAGCGCCAGGATTTGTTGAGGATGTCTCGAGCGAAACGCTTGGTTTCACGCGTCCTCGTCGCCCAGGCGGATGTCTAGCATGAGGATGTGTTGAGGAAGTCTCGATCGAGATGCTTGGTTGCACGTGTCCAGGTTGCCCAGGCGGATGCCTAGTATGAGGATGTGTTGAGAATGTCTCGAGAGATGCGCTTGTTTTCACGTGTCCAGGTCGCCCAAGCACTCAGCATTGCAACTTGGCACGTTCCCTGGCACGTTCCGTGGCGCGTCCTGTGGCGAGTCCCCCTGGCATGTCGCGCGGCGCGTCCCCTGGCACGTCCTGTGGCACGTCCATTGGCACGTTCCGAAGCGCGTCCCCTCGGCACGTCCCGCGGTGCGTCCCCATGGCACGCCCCCTGGTACGTCGCCTGGCGCTTCCCTTGGGACGTTCCGCGGCGCGTTCTCCTGGCATGTCCCCCTGTCTATTAGCTCTGGGGCACAGCTACTATGTGCTCAGGCAGCTCGAGCCCAAATCCAAATCCTCTCGGTCAGGACTCGGATGCAAAGGAGGACTCGATCCACGACGCTATATGGCACATCGCAATTCAGCACGGCGCAGCACAGCACAGCCCTCGGCGCGGCACGTCAAGATCGATACACACAACATTGCAACTTGGCACGTTCCGTGGCACGTTCCGTGGCGCGTCCTGTGGCGAGTCCCCCTGGCACGTCGCGTGGCGCGTCCCCTGGCACGTGCCGTGGCACATCCATTGGCACGTTCCGTAGCGCGTCCCCTTGGCACGCCCCGCGGTGCGACCCCATGGCACGTCCCCTGGTACGTCGCCTGGCGCGTCCCTTGGGACGTTCCGCGGCGCGTTCTCCTGGCATGTCCCCCTGTCCATTAGCTCTGGGGCAGCTACTATGTGCTCAGGCAGCTCGAGCCCAAATCCAGATCCTCTCGGTCAGGACTCGGATGCAAAGGAGGACTCGATCCACGACGCTATAGAGCACAATCGCAGCATGGCACATCGCAGTTCAGCACGGCGCAGCACAGCACAACCCTCGGCAAAGTACATCAAAATCGATACCTTCAGCATTGCAACCCGGCACGTTCCTTGGCACGTTCCGCGGGGCGTCCCTCGGCGAGTCCCCCTGGCACGTCGCGTGGCGCGTCCCCTGGCACATGCCGTGGCCGCCCATTGGCAGGTTCCGTAGCGCGTCCCCTTGGCACTCCCCGCGGTGCGACCCATCGCGCGTCCCCTGGCACGTCGCCCGGCGCGTCCCTTGGGACGTTCCACGGCGCGCCCTCCTGGCATGTCTCCCTGTCAATTAGCTCTGGGGCAGCTACTATGTGTTCAAGCAACTCGAGCCCAAATCCAGATCCTCTCGGTCAAGACTCGGATGCAAAGGAGGACTCGATCCACGACGCTATAGATCACAATCGCGGCACGGCACATCGCAATTCAGCACGGCGCAGCACAGCACAGCCCCCGGCAGGGTACATCAAAATCGATGCACTCAGCATTGGATTTGCGCGTCACCTAATCAGGTGTCGTTGAAAACGCTGCCACGCGCTACGTGTCTATATTCCTTTCTAAGTTCGTGGGTCGATCATGTTTCCGCCCGCTGTTTCGGTTCCCCCAGCCGAGCAAGATGGTCGACGCATGCTGGGCAAGCAAGAGGCCCCAACGGAGCGCGAGCAGCACGATCGAGCGAGTCGGCTCACCGACACAACACGAAACGGAGACAACGCGCGGGCGACGCAAGATGGCAAGAAAAACGCACGCGGCAGAACAACAAACAACAGCAAACAACAGGGAGACGGTCGGGGCCTGGACGGGCCTCCTCCCCCGCCAACCCCGCGCCAGCCCCGCCCGTTCCCACGAAGGGAGCAAGAACAGCTCCAGAAGACAGCCCAAGGACTTGTAGGCCGAAGGGAATGGCGGCTCTGCTGGCCCCGGAACCCCAACCACGGCACTGAGGGAACCAAGCGGGAAAGAGACCGCGGGCAGCCCTGCTCAGCTGCCGCTCGCCGTCCTCAGTGGTGGCTCGGCGCGGGCATACAAGGCAGAGGTTTTTGATGCCGCGCCAACTGCAGCCTCCGCGCGCGGCGCTGAAAAAAAGGACCGCGCTACCATAGGGGAGGGGGGATTCAAGTTGCCCATCGACACCAGATCAACGAATCCAGTGGCCAGCGAGCGAGATAAACTTAGTAACGGGAGGAAGCAATTTAAAAACTTTTTGGGGCGGACGATTGAAAAAATGTTTCGCGGGCCTCCTCGCCCCCCGCAATAGCGGGGGGGCAGGGCAGGCAGACGGGGGGCTGACAATTCCGGGTTGCCTGGAAGGCCGGGGGGGGGGGGGGGACGGGGTGGCGATCTAGGGCGCGGGGGCCAGGGGGGTGGACGGGTGATTTTTCAGGGCGAGCTCGTCTTCCTCTTCCTCCTCCGCCTCCTCCTCCTCGTCCTCCTCCTCCTCCTCGTCCTCCTCCTCCCCCTCCTCTTCCTCCTCCTCCTCTTCCTCCTCCTCTCCTCCTCGTCCTCCCGGCTCGGCGGGCAAGGGGGGCGGGCGCCCCGCGGGCACCCCCCCTCGAATTGCGCAACGGCGCGCGCGGAAGAGAATTCTGGCGGAGAAAGGCAAAGCAGGCGGACGCCATGTAACGCTTTGATCTTGAACGCCACGCTATGCAATGTTATGTTCGGGGCCGCTGTGCGATGCCATGCTTTGCGTTGCAAAGATTTGTGATGCAGTTCTGCACTACGCCACGCCGCGCCATGCTGTGACATACTACGCTTTGCGGTGCTCTTCAACGCCCTGCCACGCCGTGCTCTACAATGCATCGCGTACCCTTTCGGGATCACTGCCCTGCTCGACATCCAACTGTGCGAGTAGAGAGGGGATATACGCCATGGTAAGGGATGGGAGAGAGGGGTCGGCTGTCATATATGACGCGAGCGCACCTAGCTTGTCCTCCCCCCTCCTCCTCATCCTCCTCCTCCTCCACATCCCCCACCTCCCAATCGCCGCGGCCGTCCGCAAGGACGACCGGCGGCCGTCCGCAAGGACGAGGGTGATCAAGCGCTTCTTCGAAAACCCCTTCCCTAATCACCCCGCCCCCCCTCCGCAATCCTCCCCCCGCGGCCGCGGGTGATCAAGCGAGCGGAGAGAACGAATAGAAAATCACTTCCCCCAAAGGGGCAAAAGCAAACACCGGGGGGCGGACGATTTAAGAAAACAGTTTCCGGCAGCTGAATTCTATTAGTCCGCCCCACTCAATCATTTTGGGTGGTCCGGGGGGGGGGGGAGGCGGTTTTTTTTAAATCGTTTCCTCCCATTAAGCTTGTCGCGGCTTCCTGGGGCAATGAACCCCCACCCCCTGCCATTGATCCTGGACAGAGGAATGGGTCGGAACAGGGCGCGCTAGGGAGCGTGGTCGCTCTGGCCTGGCAACTCATCCGCATCTCGAAATTTGCGGTCGGCCACGAGATCCTCTTGCTCAATGTCCCAGACGGGCCGCTTGACGAGCAACGCTACTGACAACGTGTGCGACTTGCTTAGCCTGCCGTGTAGACAGCTGGCAAGCAACCCCTAGCTTGGCAAGGCTGTCCCCATGATCCGACCCGGGCTTGTGCAACGCAGACGTTCGCTCAGCGCCGAGATCTGCCCAGCCGGCATGCGCCGTGCATTTTCACTGACGGGAACGGCAGGTCGTCGAAGGCATGGGAGTCGCGGCCCACATTCGGGCGCGATGCAGCAATTGCTACGGGCAAAACCTGGAAGATTCAGACAACTGAGCGCGGAGCTGCAATCGATGCGAAACGCGAGCCCGAAAGTCAACGCATAGGCACCCGCGGTCGCTATGTTGATGGCGCAGTCTGCGCCACTGCGAGAGGTCTGAACGGGGGCCACTTCGCGCGGGGCTGCTCCGTGGCAGCCAGCAGCTAAGTGCCCGTCTTCATTGACCTGCACCGGCTCCCATCCAGCCCTGGCGAGCGCGGGGTCCATCGGGTCAATCGCAAATCCGCCCGTAGAAATGGGCCCGTAAGGCTGCCCATCTCTGGGCCTGTTGATCCAGCGCGCGCCAGCCTGGCCGCGGGCGAGGGGGGGGCGATGGGGGGGCTCCAGACGCGGGCTTCTTCAGTGTCTCGCTGCCGCCCCTCAGCGCTGCTGGCGGCGCGCAAGATTCAAGCTGGCTACTGTTTGTCGCTCGGCATGCCAGCCATTGCACTTGAACCTGCACAGAAAAGGGCCCCTGGCGCCGCCTTGCAGAGCGTGCAAAGAAGGGATTGAGCGCGCGACTGCCACTGCTGACGCCGCTGCGCCCAATGGCGCTGTGAGACCACGCCCCTGGCGGGGCCCCCGTTCATGGGGCCCCTCAAAGGTTTCCAATGAATCGGCCTGGTCAAAACCTCGGAAGGGGGTCGAATCTGGCCCCCGAGCTGACGCCCAACCCCAGATGCTCACGCGCAACATCCTTGCTACTGAAGCAGTTTGCCACTGCAGTCGCAGCACCGGCACTGGTCGCCAAGTCGCGCCCCCCCGCGCGATTGGCCGCACTGAGGCTGGCGCGGAACCCGCGCCGAAGGACCTGGCGCTGACGCCTCTTTCCAAAATAATTTCCTGGGCCCCCCAAGCGCGGGCCTCGCGGAGGCCCGGGGGCGGCCTGCGCTCGCGCGCGCCCTGGGAACTGCTCCGCGCGTCGGGGTCGATCGCGGTGAAACGCCAGTCGGTCTGTGAATGCAGGCGCGAGCTTGGTCTTTGCATCGTTGCTCTAAGACCCCTGCTGGCCGCGGGCTGTAGCTGCCGGCCCCGGCGCGGGCGCGGACCTCGGCGATGGCGACGCAGATGCACGACCGCGTGCGCGGGGCGCCCTCAAGACTTGCATCATCCAGCGCCTTGTCTCGCTGAGCTCATCGACGTGCCTGCGCAGCTTGCCACGAAGACGCCAGGGCCAGCTCGCTGCCCGAGCTGGCGGAACCACCCGCGGCGCCCGGCCCTGGCGCAGTCTCGGTCTGACCACGAAATCCTACATGTATTATTGGCTGCCTGTCGCGAGGTCTGGATGGTATCGCCCCAGTATTCGATTGAATCTGCAGCATTTTGCTGGAAATTGTGGGTCTGCAAACTTCCTTAAAATTCACGGACGGCAACGCTCCTTCCGATAGATCGAAGCCTCACTTCCGTCGTGTAGGGCCGGGTCTGGCCACGACCACGCGGCAGTCATGGACCTGGGCGCGTAAGCTTTTGTAGCTGGTGCTGTGCTGACGCTGACAAGAAGTTTACCTGGGTCTCGCGACTGGTCAATCCCGTCGTTGTGCTGCCTCAACCGGACAAAGCTTTCGGCGTTGAGCGCGTTGGCCACTTCTGCTTCGCCTCCAGACATCATCGCAGATGTCCGTCGCCAGTGGCCGTCTCGTTACTCCACCGACCACCTTCACTCCGATAACTCTCGCTGGGTGTTGCAGGCGAAAATGCGATGGTTCATATATTGTTGAACACGCGGTTCTCGCACCACTCCTCCCCGTCCGGCCCGGCTACAAACTCATCGTGGTTGGACGCATCGGAAGTGCACCATGCTGCTCCGAGACATCTGATGTTTCTCTTTCGCTTGGTGTAGTCTCTGCGCCCAGGTCGCCTGACTCGCGGCTCCGCCTCGCAGCAGATCGTGCGTTCGCGCGGCGGCATCGCCCCCCAGTGGTCGGCACTCCCTGCCGATTTCCGGTGATCAACGCGTGCCAACCATGGGGCTCCAATCAACGACTGCGACGCGATGCGTTCCCGGGAACCCTGAAATCTCGCAGCGACACGAGGCGACTGCTTGACATCGGGCCTAACCTCATATGATTGTCTCACCACATCAAAACCAGTCGACAATGCAATCCTCGTCGCGCTGGAATTTGAAGCCGTCGCCGCCATTGGTCCACACGGCCCACTGGATGTCGCCAAGGTCTTGGGCCGCACAAGTCTGATCCGAACCGCCGCCTCGCGTCGCCCCCAATGCCGCAATAAACGCGGTCGTCGTCGGAGAAGTACTTACTCGCCCCCCCGCCAGCACTGGCACTCCAGGTTGACCCAAAGGGGGCCAAGAGAGGGTTGGAAATAATGGAGATGGCGGAAATCGCCAGACCCACCTAGTCCACCCAGTCTGCCGCTCATGTCATGCCACTCGTCCCCGATGACGTCTGGCTCCCTCGTGGCGTGTGACGGGCAACCAGCCCAGGTGGCAACCCACTTTTGCCTCGCTACCGAACTCGGAACAGGCATTCGATGGAGTAGCAAACAAAAACGAATCTGACACTGTGACGTCGCAGGCCCCGCCTTTCCTCCTTGCGTTACCCGCTCGGCGCTGGCGCGGACACACCTCCACTCCTACTGCCTTGGGCCAGCGTGGCCTTGGCGTCAGCCACGATCGACGATGTCTTCTTGGGCTTGGCATGGGTTGGCGGTGGGGCTGCTCCAGCTTCGTCATCTGCAGGTCCTTCGCCATCTGCGGGTCCTAGGGGAGGCTACTGCTGGCTGGCCTGCTGTTGGGCTGCAGGACCGGTCTCTGCGTTGGCGGCCTCCTGTGCTGCTGCTGGTGCGCTGCGGCTGGAGGCTTCCGATGCCGCAGTAGCCGCCTAACTAGCTGGTTCCCCAGTGCGTGCGGGCTTCGACATGAGCCGCTCTCACAACGTGGCCTCCTCCTCTTTTTCCTCCTCCTCCTCCTCCTCCTCCTCCTCCTCCTCCTCCTCCTCCCCCCTCCCCCTCCTCCTCCTCCTCCTCCTCCTCCTTCTCCTCCTCCTCCTCCTATTTCTCCTCCTCCTCCTCCTCCTCCTTCTCCTCCTCCTCCTCCTCCTCCTCCTCCTCCTCCTTACCCCCCTGCGAGGTCCCCCCGCGCCTGGCGCAGTGGAGCCCCCCGCCGGCGTCCCCGAGGCCGTTCGGCGGCACGGACGCCCGAGGCGATCCCTGCCAATAGAAGTGACTGGGAGCGGCCGACTGCAGTGCTTCCCACATCTCCACCACGACAGGTTCCTGGAACAGTCGCAGACCGAGCACTTGATGTGCTCCTTCGTGCTGGTGACAGTGCTGGTCATCGACTGTCGCTGCTAAGCACCCTGGTGGTCGCGAAGAAGGTCTGTTGCCGATCCTGATCGAACGAATGCTCTTGCTGCCGCTCTGCCTGTTGCAAGGAGGGCTCGGGAGAACAAGTCTGGGCGTGATACGTGGTGAGCAGTCACACCACGAGAGAGAAGAAAGAAACGGCCGTGGGCTGGCGTACGGAACCAGCAACACGTGAGGTCAGGTGCTCGTTCGGGCCCCCAGGCCCACTCAAGCCCGAACCATCCCTCTTCCCTCCTCCCTCCTCTCCTCCTCCCTCCTCTACCTCCCTCCTCCGTACTCCTCTTTCCCTCTCCTCCTCAAACTTATCCTCCATCTTCCCTCACCCGCCGTGTCCTCCTACTCCAACATCGTGATCCTCCTCCGCCAAAGTCCTCCTAGTCCTGATCCTCTCCCTCCTCCTCCTCGCATTCCTCCGCATCATCATCATCATCATCATCATCATCATCATCATCATCATCATCATCATCATCATCATCATCAGCATCCTCCTCCTCATCATCATCAGAATCAGCATCATCATCATCACCACCAGCACCAGCCAGCATATTCATCATCATCGTCATCACCGTCATCGCCATAATCATCATACCATCACCATCATCATCACCACCACCACCATCATCATCATTATCATCAACAAGGTAAATTTAAACGTCAACATCAACATCAGCATCAGTATCATCATCATCATCATGAGCAGCATCCTCATCATCAGCAACATCATCATCAGCACGCTCATCACCCTCATCATCAGCAACATCATCATCAGCACGCTCATCACCTTCATCCTCATTCCCATCCTCCCACCTGCTCCTTTTCCTCCTCCTGCTCATCATGATCATCATCACCAGCATCATCACCAACCTCGCCATCATCATCATCATCACCATCATCATCATCATTATCATCATCATCATCGTCATCATCATCATCTTCAACTGAAGCAGCAGCAACATCAGCATCAACATCATCATCAGCACCATTGTCATCACCATCACCAGCATCACAACCACTAGCAGGAACAGCATCACCCAACACATCAACATCATCAGCAACATCATTATCAGCATCATCATCCTCATCATCGTCGACAACAGCACCATCATCAAAGTCATCATCATCGTCGTAGTTGTCCTCGCCGTCATCGGCGCCATGATATCATCAACATCATCAGCAGCATAACCCAATATCATTATCCTCCTCCTCCTCCTCCTCCCCCCTTCCACCAAGTCCTCCTCCTCCTTCTTCTCCTCCTCCTCTTCTCCTCCTCCTCTCCTCCTCTCCTCATCATCGACTACGGCAACGACCACCACGACGACCACGATCACGATCACGACGAAGACGACGACGACAACGACCACGACTACGGCGACCACGGCGACAGCGACGACGCCGACTACGGCGACGATCACGACGCCGGCGGCGGCGACGACCACGACGTCGACGGCGCCGACAGCGGCGGCAGCAACCGGGGACGCCGGCGACGGCGGAGAGGGGGAGGCCTCGGGCGCTCGTGCCGCCGAGCGGCCTCGGGGACGCTGGCCGGGGGCTCCACTGCGCCAGGCGCGGGGGCACCTCGCAGGGGGGTAAAGGAGGAGGAGGAGGAGGAGGAGGAGGAGGAGGAGGAGGAGGAGGAGGAGGGGGGGGGGAGGAGGAGGAGGAGGAGGAGAGGATTAAGAGGAGGAGGGAGAAGATGAGGAGGAAGAAGAGAAGACTAGAAGTGAGGATGTAAATGTGAAGTTGGTTTCCGTGCACGGATTAAGGCGGAATGCACAGGAAGTAGAATGGGGTTCGGGCGCGTCCAAGGCGGGCACGGTGCACTGACCAGGCCTTGAGCCGAGACAGCGAAGCGGGCTAGCAAAGGTGAGAAACAGGGCACTAGACAAGGAGCTACCGTTCGAGTCTGGTGCTCAACCAAGTCTGTCGTTCCTTCAAACGCTTCAACGCAACAGGAGGGTTCTACTGACCGCCCCTACATATAAAACAAAACTTGCCTGGCCGCGAGGGTTGTGCCAAAATGGACATGCGGAGGGCAGAGGCACGGGTGGGAGAAGAGAGGAAGGACGAGGAGGGGGAGGAGAAGAGAGGAGGACGCGGGGCACTGTCTCTTCAAAATGAAAACCGGATACCACAGGATGGTTGGGTAATGAAAGAAACTGATGCATACTGGCGAAAGACCCAGCCATGTGCAATTGTAAATATAGTGTTGTGGCGCTGGCTTCAGTAGATTTTCCTATGGGGCTACGAACCGCGTGAGGGGTGTGCCACAATCGGGCGGCGCCGCCATGTGTACCCTGCCACTGGGGCCTTCGGTGGACCTCCCAATGGGGCCACGAACCGTGTGAGTGGTGCGCCACAATGGGGCGGCGCCGCAATGTGGACCCTGCCACTGGGGCCTTCGGCCGATCTCGCTATGGGGCCACGAACCGTGTGAGGGGTGCGCCACAATGGGGCGACGCCGCCATGTGAACCCTGCTACTGGGTCCTTTGGTGGAGTTTCCTGTAGAGCGCAGAACCGTGTGAGGGGTGCGCCGCAAATGGGCGGCGCCGCCATTTGGTCCCTGCCACAACCGTGCGAGGGGTGCGCCAAAATGAGGCGGGTCCGCCATGTGGACCCTGCCACTGGGGTCTTCGGTGGAGTTTCATACGGGGCCACGGATCGTCTGAGGGGTGCGCCAAAATCGGGGCGGCACCGCCATGTGGACCCTGCCACTGGGGCCTTCGGTGGAGCTCCCTATGGGGCCGTGGCGCCGCCATGTGGACCCTGCCACTGGGGCCTTCGGTGGATTTTATTATGGGGCCACGAACCGTGTGAGGGGTGCGCCAAAATCGGGGCGGCGCCGCCATGCGGACCCTGCCACTGGTGCTTTCGGTGGAGCTCCATACAGGGCCACGAACCGTGTGAGGGGTGCGCCGAAAATGGGGCGGCGCCGCCATGCGGACCCTGCCACTGGGAACTTCGGCTGATCTCGCTATGGGGAGACGAACCGTGTGAGGGGTGCGCCAGCATGGGGCGGCGCCGCCATGTGGACCCTGCCACTGGGGCCCTCGGTGGAGCTCCCCATGGGGCTACAAACCGTGTGAAGGGGGGCTCCCAGATGGGGCGATGCCGCAATATGGACCCTGCCGCTGGGGCCTTCGGAGGAGCCCCCTACGGGGCCACGAAGCGTTGCACTGAGTGCGCCGAGACACAAACATGCGGAGGGCAGCGGCAGGGATGGCAGGGAGGACGGGGAGGGGGAGGACGAGAGGACAGGAGAGGACGCGGGGCGCTGTCTCTTCAAAACGAGGACCCAACACCAGAGAATGGTTAGAAACAAATAAAACATAAATCCCTCATCCACAACGACGACCCAAATCCCCGACGTCGTGATCTTCCACTACGCGGACCCCAAATGTCTCGACCCATTGTCCAGGACCAGCTTATCATCCTGAGTTGTTTCTTGACGGTCCTGGGGCCAAGTGAGGCCCCCCGACAACCGACAATGGCAAACACCGTCCGTCGTATTTTTCTCGTCTCGCGATGCGGGCTGGGCGCGACGACAAGGACGACCACGAAGACGACCACGACGACGACGCGGACGACGACGCGGACGACGACGACGACGACGACGACGACGACGACGACGACGACGACGACGACGACGGCGGCGGCGGCGGCGGCGACGACGACGACGACGACGAATCGTCTTCGTCGACGACGACGACGACGACGACGACGACGAGGACGCCGGCCCTGGCGAGCACCGGGCGCGGGGACAGCGGCCGCTGCGCGACGCCGGCGACTTCGGCCGCCGCCACGGGCCGCGCGGCGCTGGCCGGCGACGCCCAGGGGCCCCCCCCGGCGGCCGCCGCCCGCGCGGGGCAGGCCGTGCCCCGCGCGGCGGCAGCGTCGAAGGGCACCGGAGAGCGGCTGCTCCCCAGGGGCGCGGCGGGCGAGAGGGCACCGGCAGGCCTGCTTTCGAGTAGGGGATCGACTGCAGAACTGGTTTGCCCCAGGCAGTGATTTCCTCGTCGAGCCTGCGAAGCACGCGCTGACTGTTCGTAGGCCTACGAAGCGCCTGCGTACTTGTTCTCAGGTGAAACGAAGATTTCAGTTCTGGGTTGGATCGGTTCTGTAGTCGATCTCCTGCTCGATGCGAATATCGGCGGCGAGCTCATGGCCTTCTCGGAAGGCCCGGCATCTCTCGGACCTTCAGAACAGGTTTCACGGCTTTGCCCGACGACATCAACAAGAACCTCTCAGAAGCCGGAAGGGTTTCTGAGAAGCCTTGCCGCCGTCTGAAAGAGGCCCTCTTGCGAGGCCAATTTGTATACACCACCACCGCCCGCAACAATACCTTTCCGCAAAAAGGGTTAAGGGCAGGGTCGTGCCAGACGACGCTGCGACGCCGCGGCGAAAAGGAGCGCGGCGCAGCTCGCAGGCGCCGTGGCATGGAGTTCCTGAAGCAGAAACAGCACTTCTTGGTGGTGGTGTATAAAAATCGTTCCCCTTGGTAACCAAAATTGTATACACCACCACCGCGCGTGCTTAGATGAATTCTGTTTCGGTCCTTAAGAGAGAGGGGGCAGCCCGGTTGCCGGTGGCGGCGGGAGGGGGACTGCGGGCTTTCCACCAGAGCAAACCTGCACCACATCGCATCGTAGATTATTCTCGATCTCGGTGGTGGTAGTCATATACGGCGCTCGGACCTCTCTTTCTCGCGCCCCTTTTTTCGCCCAGCGCCAATCACAGGAGCCCGCAACGCACATACGCGCCCAACCACGCACACGAATACGACCCCCCGTCCGCGAGGACAGCCTCGTGCCACGAACGTTCGCGGGATGCGGACTGCCGAAGCCAGCGTGGATTCGTGTATGTATGCGTCCGGTGTTCGCTCCTGGGCTTAGGGGGGATGATGTGAGAGGAGGATAACGAGGACGAGGACGAGGAGGAGGGGGAGATACCGATACCACCATACCCTTGCAGCCCCTGCTTCGGTCCCTGGGTGTGGCCGTGACGCCGCCCCGCGCCCGCTGCCAGTGGTGCGGCAGTGGCTGGCCCCCTATGGCCGCTTCACGGCAACGCACGCACCTCGCCGTGTGAGTGCCCTCCCTCCCTCCCTGCTCCCCCGCGGCCGCTTTCGCCCGTCCTTCCCTCCTCCTCCTGCCGCCGGTCAATTTGCGCGTTCCGTTGCCCAAGCCGGTCGAGAGCGCGTGCGCAGTGCCTCTGCCGCGCTGCGAAGTAGCATCTGTTTGTGGACTCCTCAGGGCCGCGCCCATGATTCCGTGCCCCCCCGTGATGCGGATCTTGCGGGCGGCCCGCCCAGGGTGTGCGTCGGGGCGCCTCCCCACGACCCGTGGAGTCCTGCGCTGTCCCGTGGTGTCCGCTGGTGACCCGAGGCACGTGCGCGGCCCAGGGGGGGCCAGAGCACGCATTGAAATACGAAGGGGCCCCAGGAAATCTGGGGAGGTATCAGTGCCCTGCCCATGACATCCACCTTCTCTTAGTCATCACCCCCCTCTGGGCCGCTTGCGACGATGCCGAGCCGATGCGGAGAGGCCGGGCTGCTGGATGCCAGCGCTGAAGCTGCAATTCAAGCTGCTGGGGCCACGATGCCGATACCGTTACTCCCTGGACCTGTCCCAGGGAGCCTTCTTATGATTGCAGCGGGGGCCGAAAACCCTCAGACATCCTGTCGTCGCGATCTTGTTCACAAGGCTCCCCGGAGGCCTGGACCCCATCCCCGGGACTGGTTTTTAATCCTGGGCCGTTTATTGACAACCCCGGGGACTGGCGAGAGCCCCTGGATGCCGAAACTGATTAAGAATTGCCAAGGGGGGCAGCATCGATATTAAAACACACCCACCACAAAGCCCCAACAAACCCCCAAAAGATCCGCAAGAGGCACCCCATAAGCTTCAAAACTGCCCCCCAGAGGCTCCCGAGAGTCCTCCGAAGAGACCCCAAGAAGCATCCATGAGGACGCGGACCCAAAACTCAGCTGGAGTTCTCTTCGACAGGGTGCGAGCCATATCTCCAAAGACCTCCTCGAATACAACCATGCTTTCCTACCGTTCCCCATGAGTACGAGCACGCCACCATGCAGCCACCGTGATGCAAAATGGGCCAACGGAGCGAACGAAACGATTATCAAAACTGGTCAGGGGCAGCCAACAGCGAAGAAAGGCATCGGCATTGAAAACGTCGACCCGCGGGAATTCTGGGCAAGCAGGAGCAGAAGCAATCTCTGGGAACCACCCGAGGCCTGTCCGGCGCAGCCTGCAGCCGCTCGACCTCTCGGAGGACAAAAAAATCACCCCCACGCACGCACACACGGACGCGCAAACACACACACACACACACACACACACGCGCACTCACACACACACACACACGCACGCACAAACATACAAACACAGACAAACACGCACTTTTGCGTCCGCGGCCAGGCAGAGTGACTGCGCTGGCGGATGGGGCACATGTAGGGAAATCGTTGCCCCACTCTGTCTGTATCGGTCCCCGCCCCAAATCCTGCCCACATCTGCACAACCTCCGCTCGGGGATCTCCTGACCCGGGTCAATCCAGACCCGGGCCAGTCAGGCCGTGCAGAATCCTGCAAGAGCCTGCGCCCAAGCCCGGGTCAATGCGAAGGCTCCAGCAAGATACCCTGCAGGACTCTGTACCCCAACCCGGGCCGGTGCGACCCTGGCCCTGCAGGATCCTGCAAGATCGGGCGCCCTGGCTGTCCCCCGCTTGCATTGACCCCCGTCTCGAGGCTCCCGCTCCGCCCAAACCCCCATCGGCCCCGGGACCCCTCGGGGGCCCGCTTCTGGAGAGGCGGACCTCTGGCCGGGGCGCCGAGAGGCCTCCGGGAGAAGACCCGGGAAGGGCCGACAGAAACGCCAGGGAGGGGGGGCGCGCCGCTCTCGGCAGACCCCCCTCCGAGCAGCGTCCCCCAGACCTCCTCCGAGCCGCGTCGTCTTCGCAACCGTGGCTCCCCGAGGGTCTGCGGACCCAGGAGCAGGAGGAGGAGGAGGAGGAGGAGGAGGAGGAGGAGGAGGAGGAGGAGGAGGAGGAGTAGGAGGAGGAGGAGGAGGAGGATGAGGAGCAGAGAGGAGGAGAGAGGAGGAGAGAGGATGGATCCCTTCCCCGGGAGCTGTCTCTGGCCCCGATCGAATCTGTCTGTCGGCGGCCCGCGGGGCCAGGTGCGCGCCCCCGGGGGCGGGAAGGTTGGAGGGGCCTGCCGCCGTGGTGCTTCCTGGGCGAGGAGATGTCGGGGTCATGGTCGAGGTTGCCGCTCCTCCTCCTCCTCCTCCTCCTCCTCCTCCTTCTCCTCCTCCTCCTCCCCCTTCCCCCCCTCCTCCTCCTCCTCCTCCGTCTCCTCCTCCTCCTCCTCCTCCTCCTCTTCTTCCTCCTCCTCATCCTCCTTTTCCTGCAGTTCCCTTCGCCGATGCACCTTCTCGCACCGCGAGGCCTGGATGGCCCCGAGCAGGTCGGGTTCGAGCAGCAGCCGCCGGGCGAGCTCCACCTCGAGGTGCTGCATGCGGCAGAACTGCACCTCTCTCGGGGGCGCAAAAGACACGTACGATGACAAATAGTGGTGAAATAAATCTAGGGCACGCTCTTTCTCCCCCCCAGGCCCCGCTGATCTTTCCCGGAAGGGGCACAGGCGCATAGGCCCAGGGTTCTCATTTAAGTAAACCAAATGCCAGGCCTCGACTTGCGAAGGGCTGGAGAATTCATCTCGCTATAAATGACAAAGTCGCATAGGGACGGTGAATTAAAAGAGTTGAGGATATCCCGAGCGAAAATATACTTCAACAAACTCTGATCGATCGAACGCATGGTAAAGTACACATGTTCGGTTGTTGCGGATGTCTCGAACGAAACGCTTGATCTGCTGAAGTTGTTGAGGACGTCTCGAGTGAAACGCTTGTGTTGTGTTATAGGTTGTTCCTCTCTGAGGGCCAGAATTCAAAGGATCTCTCAGGTGAAAAAACTTGTTTTCACGTGTCCAGGTCTTGAGGATGTCTCGAGCGAGACGCTTGGTTTCACGCGCCCTGGTCGACCAGGCAGACGTCTAGCATGAAGATTTGTTGAGGATGTCTCCAGCGAGGCACTTGTTTAATTTGTCCATGTCGACCAGGCGGATGTCTAGCATGAGGAGGTGTTGACAAAGTCTCGAGCGAAACGCTTGTGCTCATTTGCCCAGGTCGCCCAGGCGGATGTGTTGAGGACGTCTCGAGCGAGACGCTTGCTTTCACGTGTGCAGGTCGCTCAGGCGGACGTCTAGCATGAGAAGGTGTTGAAAACGTCTCGAACGAAACCCTTATCTCATTTTGCTTCCGCTCTGGCGCGAAAAAGACCCACGTGTTTTCATGTTCACGTTTGCTCCGCTCTGGGGCGAAAAAGACCCACGTGTTGTCACGCTTGTTCCGCTCTGGCGTGAAAGAGACCCACGTGCTTTCTTGTTCCGCTCTGGGGCGAAAAGGACCCACGTGCTTTCACGCTTGTTCCGCTCTGACGCGAATCCCACCCACATGTTTTCGCGCTTGTTCCACTCTGGGGCGAAGAGCGCCCACATGTTGTCACGTTTGTTCCGCTCTGGCGCGAAAGGGACCACGTGTTTTCACGCTTCCTCCGCTCAAGGGCAGAAAGGACCCACATGTTGTCACGCTTGTTCCGCTCTGGCGCGAAAAGGACCCACGAGTTTTCACTCTTGTTCCGCTCAGGGGCGAAAAGGACCCACGTGCTTTCACGCTTGTTTGTTTCGCTCTGGGGCGGAAAGGGCCCACATGTTTTCGCGCTTGTTCCAGTCTGGGGCGAAAAAGACCCACATGTTTTCACGTTTGTTCCGCTCTGTCGCGAAAGGGACCCACGTGTTTTCACGCTTCCTCCGCTCAGGGGCAAAAAGGACCCACGTGTTGTTACGCTTCTTCCGCTCTGGCGCAAACAAACACGTGTTTTCACGCTTGTTTGTTCCGCTCTGGGGCGGAAGGGGCCCTCGTGTGTTCACTCTTGTTCCGCTCTGGAGCGAAACATACCCACGTGCTTTCACGCTTGCTCCGCCATGGGGAGGAAAGGACCCACGTGTTTTGTGACGCGTCCGGGCCACACGTGGGGGGGATATATTCAACGTGTGGTCGTCTGGCCCTCAGGAGTGGGGAGGGTCACAAGAGCCAAAACAAGTTTGCGAATCGACACCACGTGTGCAAAACCTTGACGCGTTCCGTCCTCCTGGGGAGGCCTCCCGCGGCCTCCTGGGGAGGCCTCCTGCGGCGAGAAGGCGCCACGTGTTTTGTTCACACCTGTTGCGCTGTGTGGGGCGAAGAAGACCCACGTGCTTACTCGCTGGCTCCGCTCGGGGGCGACAAGAACCCACGTGATCCCACGCTTGATCCGCTCTGGCGCGAAAAGGACCCACGTGTTTTCAGAGTTGTTCCGCTGGGGGGCGAAAGGGATCCACATGCCTACACGCTTGCTCCGCTCTGGGGCGACAAGAACCCACGTGATCTCACGCTTCTTCCGCTCTGGCGCGAAAGAAGACCCACGTTTTTTGTTCAGAAGTGTTCCGCTGTGGGGGGCGAGAGGGATCCACACGTGCCTGTTCCGCCCCGGAAGACGGGACCCACGCGCTTTACCGCGAATTCCGCTCTGGGGCGAGTGGGGCACACGCGTGCTTTCACGCTTGCTACGCTCCGGGGCGCGTGTCGTCGTGCAGGGGCCTTGTCGTCGTCCGGGTGCATGTCGTTTCGGTTCGGATATTTGCCTCCCGGTCGCTTCGCCCTACCTCGGGACTGAAGCGGATCCTGAGTTCAAGCTGGTGGAGCGACCCCCGCATGTTACGACTGCAGCCGGCTTGGGGCAAACCATGCGCGTAGGCATCTTGAGCTTCAGAGCCAGATCCGTTCGTTCGGACAGCATTGGGGTGCCAAGGATGGTTTGATCCACAACGCAACAGAGATCGACTCAGTTCAACACAACATGACGCAGCATAACGCAGCACAGCACGCATCAATAACAATGTACGCCAAATCGCGGCCCTGATTATTTGCGAGGGGCCCTGGCACCTCGGAGTGCGGCTCAGGCGACGCCATGCATTTTCAGGATGGTGAGCCGAAGCGTATTCGTCTTGGTTTGTCTTGTCCCGCTTCGATTCGGGTCGGTTCGGCCTTCGTCTCGCTTCGTATCGTTTCGGTTCGTCTTGATGCACTTCGTGGTGGTTTGGTTCGCCGAGCTTCGGTCCGTCCACTCTCGGTGTTTCGCGTCGGTTCGGAGTCGCCCCCTCTTGGCTCGTCCCGTTACGGAACTGAAGCAGATCTCGAGCTCGAGCTGGTCGAGCACCCCGCGCGGTTCGATTGCGACCAACTCGAGATATGCGTCCAGGCAACTCGAACTTAATACTCAGATCAGTTCGGTCAGGATTATGATGCCAAGAACGACCTGATCCACAACGCAATAGAGGACAGCACATTTCAACGCGGCATGGCACACTTCAATTAATCACAGCACAGCGCAACACATTCCCTGGCACGGTACATCACCAACCTCACCTTGAGCATGGCAAAAATTGTGTCTCGAGCAATCTTCATGTTTCACATTTCTGAATCCCTTTCTGGGGTAGTGGGTCGATCATGCTTGTTAACCTACCGGCTCCGACTTGCGTAGGGCCGCCGAATGCTTTCTGCAATGAAAAACGAAGTCGCGTAAGGACGGCGAAAAACAAATATTGAGGACGTCCCGAGCGAAACGCTGGTTGTTGAAATTCCAATCGGTAGAACTTATGGTAAAGTACACATTTCCGTGTGTTGCGGATGTCTCGAGCGAAACGCTTGGTCTGCAGGATTTGTTGAGGATGTCTCGAGTAAAACGCTTGCTCTTGTTATATGTCTTTCCCCTCCTGGGGATCAGAATGCAGAGGATGTCTCCAATGAAATGCTTGTTTTCCCGTGCCCAGGTCTTGAGGATGTCTCGAGCAAGACGCTTGGTTTCACGCGTCCAGGTTGCCCAGGCAGATATCTAGCATGAGGATTGGTTGCGGATGTCTCAAGCAAAACGCTTGTTTTCACGCGTCCAGGTCGCCCAGGCAGATGTCTAGCATGAGGATGTGTTGAGGAGATCTCGAGCGAGACGCTTGGCTTCACGCGTCCAGGTCGCCCAGGCGGATGTCTAGCATGAGGATGTGTTGAGGATGTCTCGAGCAAGACGCTTATTTTCACGTGTCCAGGTCGCCCAGGCGGATGTCTAACATGAGGATTTGGTGAGGATGTCTCGAGCGAAACGCTTGTCGCAATAGAGCGCATCGCAGTTCAACCCCGCCCGTCCGTGGGGCGTCCCCTGGCGCGCTGGCGCGTCACCTGGCGCGTCCCTTGCGACATTCTGGCGTGACGTGCCCTGGCACGTCCCCTAGCACGCCACTAGGCGTGGCACGTTCCCTGGCTTGTCCTCCGTCGCGTGTCCTGGTTTGTCCCCAGGCGTTTCCCCTGCCCGTTCCCTTGGCATGACGTCTTCTGGCCGCCCCACGGCACGCGCCTTGGCACGTTCCGTGGCCGGTCCCTGACTCGTTCCTTTTCGGAGCGAACTGAGTCGGATTTTGAGGTCGAGTTCATTGAACGTCCCGCACGTTTCCACTTCAACCAGCTCTGGAGCAGCTACTACATGCTCAGGCAGCTAGAGCTTACGATCCAGATCAGGTCGGTCAGGACTCGATGCAAAAGAGGACCCGATCCACAAATCCACAACGCTGTAGAGCACACTCGCGGCATGGCACATCACAGTTCAGCACGGCGCAGCGCAGCACGGCCCTTGGCACGGTACATCGAGATCGATGCACTCAGCATTGCATGTGCCCGTCGCCCGATCAGGTGTCTTGAACTTTGTGGGCCCCGGAAACGGCAGGGCCGTTTTTTTCACCGTTTCCAAAACAATGATCCTTGAAAATGGAAACGGCAAAAAAACGGCGACCGGAAACGGCAAAAAAAAACGGCCCCAGGATTGGAACCGGAGCCGGAGCCAGTCAAACAACGGCGATGGAACCGGTACAAAAAACGGCGTCGGAACCGGCAAACAAACGGCAAAACGGAACCAGTAAAAAACGGCCCTGTCGCTTCCGGGGCCCACCAAGGTCTTGGAAACGTTGCCATGCCTCCGGTTTCAAAATTCCTTGCTGGGTTCGCGGGCCGAGCACGCCGTTGACTGTCAGCGGCGAGGGCGAGCGCTCCCCGCGCTCCGGGAGCCCGCGGGCCGCGCCAGGGCTGCGGCTTCACGGAGACGCCGAGGGAACGAAGAGGGCGGCCGCACACAGAACCTCAACAGGCCTTTTAGTACCCCCCTCCCCAAAGTGTGGGCAAATCATCATTTTGTGGGGGCTATGTTCAGGGTTGCCGGCGCCCGCCACGAACTGGCAAATGATTCTTCCGCCGCCGCCGCCACCGCCGCCGTTGCTGAGGAGGAAGGAGGAGGGGAGGAGAAGGAGGAGGAGGAAGAGGAGATAGCACTCAGTGTGGGTGTTCGTCTTCCTGAGCACCGCCTACCTTTACCCAGGGGTAGGAAAATGAC